CATACAGGTTTGGAACAACACGAGGGTGAGTAAATTACCACAACATTTTATTGTTTTGCATGAACTGTCCCTTTCAGTTCAAATTGTTCACCATATCATTTTTCGGTCACAAAGATCAAGTTCAAAGTGCCTGTATTGCATGCAAATATCCTCAAATCAAAAGCTCTCCAGGAGATATATCCTTGGCAAACTACTATGTCTGCATGGATCTGCTCTTTAATAAACTGTGAACTCATGCAGCCTGATGTATTCAATGTATTCGTGAAAACCTGGTTTCTTTTTTCTCACCATTGAAGCCATTAGATTCTTACACTTGGTTTCACAAACATCAGTTGTATTAGAATCACATAATATGTCAACGGCTCCTGGCAGACTGTTTAATAAGAGCTCATGCACTGGGGTTATGATTTCTGTAATGAGAGCTACGGCCCTAATCTGACCCCGTCTGTGAACCCTTCATAAGTCAGGAGGGCTAAGACCAATTAGGGTGGGATTGTTTACAGGGGATGACACCCTCCGAACGAGAAAGTGAGAAAACATGCCCCAATTACCTGCCGGTGATGTCATCACTCGCGGTCAGACACGCTTGATTCTTACATGACGTGACAGATGCGCTGCGAGCCCCACTGTTCATGTGAAAGATAGCGCTAGCGTCTGTGGCAAACATGCAGAGCAACCTCATAATAGGGAGGAGGCATAAGCTTCACGACACAAAATTCATTCACCGGCTTTGACCGATGATTTCCATATTGCACATTTCATATTTAGATATGATAAAGTATTTCCCTTTATTCATTAGAACATCAGTGTAGCCGACTTGTATTTTCTCCACAGAGAGATTTAGCAAAGGAAGAGAGAGTGAAGGTTAAGCCAAAGGCACACTAGACTCCATCTCCCCCTGAGGTATGTTTATTCGATTAGAGTCACACTGGGATGAAGAGTCTAAGAGATAGTTTCTCATGTTTGGCTTTGCCCATACATACTCCCCTGAAACTGGCCTAATGTATCTTCAGGGGCAGATAACCTAGAGCTGAAATTTCACAGTTAAAAGCAAAGCGTGTGTCCTTGCTTTTAGATATCTTTCTATTGATTTGCTCTGCTATGTGAACAGCCTGTATCTAAGGTGGCTTGGCATCAGCGGGTTTAGAAGATGTTTGTATTCAAGGCTGAATCCCACAGAACCCAACCTCACCACATCCACCTGTTGATCTAGAATGTGCTTTTTAAGATGTTACATAACACACTAGTATTGTATTGTCAATTTCTATGGCTATGTCAACAGCTAATTCTGCTATGTTATTGTTTGGACTCATTTTATGGGTGTTGGACATTATATTGAATGTTCCATTCATGAGGAAAATTAGGTGATCGAGCAGGCCCACAGGAGTGCTTTGCAACAGACTGAATTTAACTGCAGATATTGGGTGCTTAGCCTTTCAGTGTCGGAAGGAGACATAAACTGAGTGCGATTATTCAATAACAGCTGCCAGTGTTGCCATTTGAGGATGAACTACTAATTTTGTCATTTCTGCAGAACCTTCATTGCTGTGTTACCATGAGAACAATAATAATGCAGAAGCTGTAATTGTTTTGGTCCTGGAGACCATTAATATAATGAGACACAGCAAGAATATATATATAAAAAAAAATTCAAAAACAAGCAAAATGAAGTAGAGAGCTTGCATTATGCAGTTTTGAGTTCGAAATTCATTTGTTATAATTCATACAACTATAATTAATTCCACAAAATGGGTATCTCTTCCATTTATGAAAATGTGATTTTAAAGTATTTTCTTGGCTTAACTTATAAAAAAGTTGTACGTTTAACAGTTCGCTTAGCTATCGCTAGCTATGTGCTGAAGATCATGCCACTTAAAGGTGTTTATTACAAAGAGAGTTTAATGCTGGTATTTCTACAAATATCCAGTTTTCAATTATTAGTCGTTTACTGTCATGGTAACAGGGATGGCATTTTGAGATCTCCCCCTACAGACAAAATTTTAATTTAAGATAAAATAAATAAGAGGGAGAGAGAGAGAGAGAGAGAGAGAGAGAGAGAGAGAGCGAAGGCACTTGCTTGTCCTTGAAGAGATCATATGTTGACAAGATGTACAATTGTCCATAATTTTAATACGTTGGAGTTCTGATGGTGACACATAACCTGGGCAAACAATATGGTTTCACTTTATTTTGATGGTCCCTTTAACACATTCTGTTGACTATAAGTAACGTTGCAACTACATGTCTACTAACTCTCATCAGAGTGTTAGTAGAGTATTAGACTGGTAGGGTTAGAATAAGTTGATATGTAGTTACAAAGTTACTTATAGTCAGTAGAATGTCTGTTGAGGGACCATTAAAGAGTTAACAAATATTAAGCAGACAGTCTAATGCTCTAATGAGAGTTAGTTGACAAAGTTACTTAAATAAACAGAATGTTCAAAAAGGACCATCAAAATAAAGTGTTACCAACCATATATAATATATCCTGGTAGAAAGGAACAAAATAAACACACACACAAACACACACACAAATAAATAAATACATTTATTTCTGCATTTGAGTTGATGCATTATGAAATATGTGTATAATAGCACAGTAAAAGTTGGTGTCAGCTTTTCATTGTTTACACATGTTCACGAAGGACACAAAATGCACCAATACTAATGCCTGTTTTGCCCACCTTCAGCTCACTTTTAAATACAGCAGTGGCCCCTATGGGTTACCGTCTGCACAACAATTTTGTATATTTCTGTGGATTCAGTTTACAATTTATCAGCGTATGCAATAAAATCTCCAATTGTTGCTGTAAGATTCACTGTTCATGACCAAACTCGATTTAATGACTTCTTTTCATTTACGAATGAAAACGCTGAGAAGAGTAGCAGAATATGACCAAAGATACAGAGAGAGACTGTCCTGTTGCACGTTTCGCAAAATCATGCTTCATGATTAGAGAATTTAGCAAGGAGAAGATTGGAGCAGCGGCAGTGCAGAATCGAGCGCTGTCCGCGGTGCTGAACTCACTGAGGCGACCTATTGAAGATGAAACGCTCCTCTGTTCTCATTCCTCTCCGCACTCAACTTAGTAGCGCTGTCTCAGACGATGCTTTTCTGTCTGCTCTGGCGGTGCGAGCATCGCCAATGTAGATAAACTTACTTTCGCTCTGGGGAAACGTAATGCCATCGAATTTAATCTCGTTTATTAACTTGACATCAAATTGTTTTCTCGGCGGAGGTGCCGAAGACCAAATGGCGTTATACTGTTTTACCTGCAGTATTTGGGAGTTGATTTAAATGTCGCGGATGACTAGATGATCACGAGAAGGAAGTACATTTGTACATATGTTTTGGATCTTTTTCCCTTCCTTTTCCATATCGTGAGAGGTCTTTTAATGATCGGGGAATCATAATTGCGTTTCTGGATATGTCATTTCTGAAGTGGACATGATCAGCATTCATTTGTAAATAGTAGAGACATTCGGATTATCTGTTGTATTGGAGTAAGCACATTTTTGCACCAACCCGAATTGGAATGATTTCTTGGAGTTTATCATCATGAAGGTGTACTTGCTCGTTTGATTACGATTCCAACAAAGTGGAGCCAGACATTTCAACGCGGTAAGTCTAGTCCAGCCACTTGGTTAAAGGTGTATTCGTGTTTATTGCAATACTTCAATGCAATATTTAATTTATATTGCATGGCCATGATTATATTACTTGCTTAAAATGCATTTATCTTTACATTCAAGGCAGACAGTCTCTGCACAGATACATTCAGCATGCCAGAGGCAGTCATATTATAGACTAGACATTGACAATACTAGACTATCTTTCAGTGTAAAAGGGAAACTCTTCCTTTGAAGTGCTTTCCTCTGCCAGCTTCTTAGTGCGTGCAGAATCTCGCACTACTGTGCCGTTTATGGTTAATTTCTCGTGCTTTCACGAGTGAAGAGGCATTTGGGCTGAAGCCCATTACGCACTCGTTAATGACACAGAAACCGTGTCTTTTCTTCAGGGCTCTTGGAGCAGATGAAATTCAGAGCGTGGAAATGTACGGACATGGGCAATGCACGGACATGGGCAATGCACATCTATCTGCAGTGAGGAATTAGAAGCTGGGGAGCTACCTGTTGTCCCTGAGAAATAGACATCCTGGCTAACTTTGTTGAGCACTGTCTATGATGCCTGTGATTATCTGGGTTTTTGTGTGTGTTGATTTACTTTGTTCTTCGGGGGCTTTTTCCCGTACACACGCTTTATTGTGTATGCTTCAAAGTAATATTTTCACCACCTCCACCAGAGACAGCATTTAGGAGGAAAACACACCACGTTTATGTGAGCTGACTCTTCATCAATCTTTAGGTATCTTCGGCTGATAGTGCATTCTGTATGGGAACAAATGACAGATCTTTACCAGAGATTAACCAGTATGGGAGACCGGGGAGTGCTGTACTGGGTGAGTTGTAACACCTTCAGTTTAACAGGGGTGAAACCACTAACATACATGACCCCCATCCTCATGAGGAGACAGTAGAAGTTTTATTTACAGGACAAGCAATTTCAATTTCCTCAAAATTTTGGATTGGGAGGGTTGTAACACTTCCCAATGTGTATATGTATGTATATATATATATATATATATATATATATATATATATATATTTGAGATTTGTAAATAAATTTGACTACCACAACAAATGCATACTAAAAAAAGTCAATAGGTGTTGCAACTCATACCAGTATAACAGCACTCTGTACCTGACACTAATTTATACAGTTTAGGTTTAAGTCATATATTTCCAAAACTACTTTGTAGCAGATAAATAGCCTATGATAAAAGCATTTGAAGGTTTGAGACAGTGCAACAACAACAAAACAAAAAAACGGATTAACACATTGTTACAACACTTCCCATTCATTCGAGTTTACATTTCTCAGTAACTGTACCATGATCATTGTGACGATCTTTTTATGAGTTAAGATAAAAAAATGCATGTCCAGTTATCAAGCTACGGGTTGTTTACATTTCTTTCAGTGTCATATTTGCAGCATGGAGACTTACAACTTAAGGGACCTGAGACACTCTCCTTGAATGCGTCAAGACTGCCGCGGCAAAGGATGGGCCCTTTTCTCCCGGCGATTTGCGTCGTGCTGCTCGCCCTGAACGCCGCTGTCTCACCGGCTTCTGTCGGCCCCGAGGACTATCCCGCCGCGGAAGAGGCCGAGAGAACTGCCAACAATGACATCATTTTCGATGACTACCGAGGGAAAGGCTGCGTGGATGACAGTGGCTTTGTGTACAAGCTCGGGGAACGCTTCTTCCCTGGCCACTCGAACTGCCCGTGCATGTGCACGGAGGACGGACCTGTCTGTGACCAACCCGAGTGCCCTAAAATACACCCCAAGTGCACCAAGGTGGAACACAACGGGTGTTGCCCCGAATGCAAGGAGGTCAAAAACTTCTGTGAATACAGAGGGAAGACTTATAAAATCCTGGAGGAGTTCAAGGTAGGATCACGCTGCCTCCCAATTACCAGAATAACTATTGCAAAATGATGAGGTTACTTTATTAATTTAGCATTGCATTGGGTTAACCCACAGCCTTTGCATGAATTATTACGTGCGTCTTGCACTACAGCTAAAACTTCAACCATGTATAGTGGAGTATCATGGGGACTTTGTTTAAAAAAGCTCCAAATGGAAAAAAAGCCTTTCCATTATTCTTGCATTGTGGGTGGATTGTATTTTACAGAGTTTGAATTGTTTACTCAAGTCTGCAAATCGCACATGTCTGGCTCTAAGACAGCATTCATGACAAAATTAATCTTGCTTGATGTAGCTTCCAAGAATCCACGAGTGCACCAACTATGTCCTCAAATACAGTATAGTCTGTGTGGGTGGGTCCTTGTATGAGTGCAGTATGCGATATTGTGGGATAGTTTTGTTCTTGTTTTGTTTTACTCCAGCTCATCATGATAAGTCCTATCCATCACTATCAACTGTAATTTGATTAGAACTGTGCCACAAAAACAATCCACTTGACAAAGCAATCCATTTAAAAGTAGCATGCATTTTCTCTTGACTTTAGATTCTAGTTATTTATATTGATCAGAGGAAGAAAGTAAGCCAATCAATCATACAACAAAGCACTGAAGCATTCTTAAAAAGACCCATCAGCCATACACAGATACATGAGTGTTGTGCTGCATGACGAACCATTCTACTAACTTGAGACTCAGAAGACATAGAATTGACAAATATATGAGGCATTTAGTATTTCATGACCGCTTTATCAGACCTAACATGTTGTTGTAAGCTCTTTGGTGAAGAGCAAGAAGTTGCCTCATATTGCCGCATTTATTTACCATAAGTAGTCTATTAAGCAGCTGCATGTACTAGATATTTCTCTAATACTATATAATGTATATAAAACATAACATTACTAACATCAACAGGACCCTTGTTTACGTGGACTGATGCATTTCTACATGCAGGGATGCAGATAGCAGGTGGTACATATATTATTTTTACATACCAGAATGTATTAGTTCCCAGCCTAAGCCACACAAAATGAGTTTTCTTTTTTTTTGAAACATACAATGTCAGAGAATTGAAACTTGCAACACCAGGAAAGCGACTGAGATCACAACAGATGCCCTTGATCACAAGAATTTTTACTTTCACCAACAAAGCTCATTTCCTAGGGTTAACGTGGGCTGTTTCAGCAACTCCAAACTCTAATATAAGTCTTAGATATCAACAAAGGACAAAGCAATAAATCATCAGACACAAAATTAGTCTTTGGGCTTGCAAGTGCACCTCTTAGATTAGAGTTTCCAGCACATGTTAGCACCATTTATGAATTTCATCTCTCTTGAGAACTCTAAATTCTGTACCCTTCTGCAGCATTTTTTATTCTGTCACTGTAATTTAAACATTTATATAAATATGTATGTTTTACATGAATTTTAATACACATATTTGATCATTTAACATTTATTTATAATTTAATAACATTTCATATTATAATTTGGATAGTTATTTGTAACGATTAATCACACTGAGCAAAATCCTATTTCCAAAATGATATTTTAAGATAAACATCATGCATTTATTAAGGAGAAAGAACAGACAGAGCATAAGAAATGTTCTTCGATGTTTCTTATCATTTATACTTCACTGGCCACATTGGTAATTATGCGTTTAATCTTAATTGTGATGCTTTGGATCTTTTTCATGGATTTGCACCGCATGTATCATGAATCTTCTCTCTCCAGAGAACAAGATATCATTAGCATTCATCTCATGCTCACATCTGATTTATTGAGTTTAATCTTGAGATAATGTAAATTCAGGCCTTTTTAGGCAACCTGTCTCCCGACATTAAATGTATTGCAAATATTATTATCTTAGACTATGTTACTAGTAGATAAAAACCAGAACAATGTTTAATATCAGGATTACCGTGGAGTGGAGGGTCTATGTAATTTAGTCTCACTCTGGGTGATGAATTTCCCATCCGGCAACATCTGATATATTATCACTCACAGTTCTGTTGTATCAACATGGGGCTGGCCAGCTTTTGACAAAATCAGCATTTTATTGTAATACCTAGTGTTTTCTTTGAGGTGTCAATCTAAATTCAGTTCCACAAACAGTACCTTGGCCTGTTTCTCTATAAACAAAGACTGAGATTAAGGTTTTCGAAGTCAAACTCGTGCCAATCAAATTCAAATCTGTAAAAGCTGGCAAGGTTAGAGTACTTAGTTTAAGCACCAACATCTAAGGAATATTTTTGTGGCTAACAAGAAAGTCAAATGACATAAATGGCATTACTAGGGAAAGACCGACAAAGTCAAGCAGTTTCTTTTAATTAGGGTCTCTGAGACTTTTAAATCAAATCCATCTTTGTTAGGCGGCTGATTAGCCCTGTTGTGATGCAAGCATATGGTTCAGCTATACGTATTTGCCCATGTAAGTCTGTTTGATAAAAAGATCAGGTCCATCAATACAGCATCTCACCCGCATGTTCTCTCCAACCTTGAGCGGAAGGATAACTTACAATCTTTTATTACCTTTAAAACCGTTTATCTGACTCTACTGATTATCGCCCGTCAGAAGAGACCCTGACTGAAAGCCCATAAACAAAACGATGCAATTCATAACCAGCAGAAATCCGTTTTTGATCAGTTTCTGCTCTGAATTTGAGTTGCGCATTACGCAAACGAGGCATCGTCGCTCAATAGTGTCCAGTGAGATCTCTTTGAATTAAAAAGCAACTACTGAAGTCCAGCTGTGAATGGGAATCAAAGGGCATCACGGCTCTTGATAGCTGATCCAATTAAGAGAAGCCGACAGGGTAACCTTTGGTGTGGGCCACACTGGCATTTTCTCAGCCTTTCTTTGGCGGGGACTGTATTTTCTTGCCTCGGCAGGAGTGGGAGGAGCCCCACAGAGATATGAATCTTACACGCAGAGAAGGCTTTTCACTGTAGAATAAGGAAGACCAATCAGTCAGCAGAGCTTTTTGTTGTTACTAATCACTTCTAATGACAGCTGAGTGACGGATTTCGAAATGAAAGAATCGAAGTGCATCATTAAAGCGATTCACGTTGACCCGTGTGTAACCCAGCTTGACCCCGGACAGTTAAGTGGTTTATTAAATGTCACGTTTCCCAGGCTGAGGGTGATTAAAAGAGCTGTAGGATTTATACCAACTGAGTTGATCACATCATTTCTAAAACATGGCAATAGCTCATTCAATACATCTCTTGATTTTTACAATGTTCCAGTGAAGATGTATGTTCATACAATTCTGTCAGTCGAAACCCTGAGAGAATAAAGTATAACGGACAATTAATTCACTGCTCTCTTTCCTGCACATTTTCTCTCTGTGCTTTGAGGAGGAAGGATGTATTAGGAAGCCTTTTATTTTTATATTTAATATAAAAATACAAGTTTGCAAATACAGTGGCTCCAAAAAGTATTTGGAAATCGATCATTGGTTTAGATCATTTAAAAAAAAAAAAAAAAAAAAACAAATTTAAAAAAAAAAAATACACACAAGCAAATGCATACATACACTACTGTAAAAAAAATATGATTTTTTTTTTTTTTAAAGAAATTAAAGGAGAACTCCGGCGCAAAATGAACCTTTGGTTTAATTACACATTGTTACCTAGTCAACTGTTATCTGAGATTTGTTTTCATGATTATCGAATGTAAATAGTTTTATCTCTACAAACAGTTTAGCCTATAAAGCTAGTATAACGCTAGTATATTGGGCATAGTGTAATGACAAATAAAAATCGCTTGTTAATACCACTAACAAGGCTCAAAATAGCCCCACACTAACACGGTAGCATAATGAGGGTCCCTACCTTCAAACCGAAGCATTGAGAACTTTGTCAGTGTCCAGACAGTTTAATAAGAAGATATTTTAAACATACAGTCAACTTCGCGTATACAGGCAGAAGCCATCTTTGAAATACAGTCTTTACCAGTCGATCTACGAACGCCGATCCAAGCCTGCTGTTCGCGCTCACCTTATCACAACTTATAGCTCGTTCACATTCTCACCAGCGCACTTGGATCGGCGTTCGTAGATCGACTGGTAAAGGCTGTATTTCAAAGATGGCTTCTGCCTGTATACGCGAAGTTGACTGTATGTTTAAAATATCTTCTTATTAAACTGTCTGGACACTGACAAAGTTCTCAATGCTTCGGTTTGAAGGTAGGGACCCTCATTATGCTACCGTGCTAGTGTGGGGCTATTTTCAGCCTTTTTAGTGGTATTAACAAGCGATTTTTATTTGTCATTACTCGATGCCCAATATACTAGCGTTATACTAGCTTTATAGGCTAAACTGTTTTTAGAGATAAAACTATTTACATTCGATAATCATGAAAACAAATCTCAGATAACGGTTGACTAGGTAACAATGTGTAATTAGACCAAAGGTTCATTTTGCGCCGGAGTTCAACTTTAATACTTTTAGGATTGATCAAATGTGACAGTAAAGACATTTAGAATGTTACAAAAGATTTCTTTCGATTCAAATGCCATTCTTTAGAACTTTCTATTCAACAAAGAAATATGTTATATTTTCACAAAAATCTTAGGCAGCACAACTTTATTTATTCTATATTGTTTTCAATATTGATAATAAGAAATGCATTTGAGCACTAAATAAGCATATTAAAATTATTTCAGAAGGATCATGTGACTGAACACTTGAGCAATCAGTTTTAAAACATATTAAAATAGAAAACAGTTACTTTAAATCGATATATTTTACAATGCTAATGCTAATGTGTTTACTGTATTTTTGATCACATGCCTTGGTGAGCATAGAAGACATTAAAAAAATCGTACAGACCCTAAACTTTTAAACGGTAGTGGAGAACTGGCCCAGTCAGTTAAGTTCATAATAATAATAAAATAAAATAAAAAATAGTTTACAGATATACTACTTGGTTTACTAAGGTCTTTGGTTTGCAAAGAAATT